TTCTTGTGATTTCTTAAATTTTTCATAGTCTTTGTTTGAGTGGTCCAGTTCATCCACTTTATCTTCCAGTCTTGATACTCTCTTTTCCATTTCATTCATCCTATTGGTCAGGCTTTCTTCTGTCGTTTCTAATTGGCTTTTGGAATGTTTCACTTCATTCTTTATTTCAGCCTGAGTGTTCTTCAATATTTCTAGCTCTTTTCTGAATTCATCCAGAAGTTTATCCCTATCTTCCTTCAGCTCTCTGATTACCTTGTTTGTGTGTTCTTTAAATTCACTGAATTCTTTTACCATATTCATCATTGTTCTTTTGAGTTCCACGTCCTGCATTGTCTCTAGGGGGTTCTCATTGTGCTCCTCTAGAGGATTACTGGTATTTGGTGGGGATATGTCATTTTGGTTTTTCATGTTATTATTTTTTCTCTGTGATTTTGACATGTGAATTTCTTTTGTAGTTTCTGACTCTTGTGTGATACTCAGGCCTTCAAGTTTCTTTCTACTTCTTTTTTTGAACTTTATGTGTCTTTATGGTTAACTTTTTGGGTATGAAGAGCTGGTTCTTCTAAGCTTCTGTTTCTCCCTTTTGATTTTATATTGTCATGGCCAGATTGATTTTGTCTTCAGGAGTTCCGCAGTGACCCAATTCCAATGTGGGTCAAAAGTTTTCAGACTTTCTCCTTACGTCTGGAATCTTCTAAGAATGATTTTGGCCTCAGGAACTTGGGTGTTGGACTGACCTGAGATCCTGGCAGTGGCCGTGCCACGCAGGGATGCAAAGGCAGATGGGGTGGGAAGAAGCCCCAAGATTTCCCAGGGAGTGGATTGAGTTGCTGGGTTGTACTGGATGCAAAGGATCAGGGAGAGTAAGGTAAGCCTCGGAGTCCCAGAAAGAGGCTGTCAGCCCCAGAAAGCGGCTGGTGGGTGTTGCAGGATCAGGGAGGTAGGTAGAGGGAGGTGAGGATGGGGCCTGATCCAGAAGCAGTGCCCCTGGGGCCCAAGGAAGGCACCAAGTTGGTCTGGGTGAAAAGGATCAGGAAGCAATATTTGTTCCCCAGGTGTCTGGGGCCCTAAGACTAGGAATGGTACAGGGCCCAAACTAGGAGTAGAGAACAGCGGGGGAGATGGAAGGGTGAATGTGGCTTGGGGAGTCAAAGGGCGGAGGGCTGTGCTATAGACTTACCCCAAGAGGTCTGAGGATGAGAGTGCAGGCTAGGAGAGTTAGCCAGTGGTGCAGGTCCCAGGAAGCAGAGAGAGGTGAGGGCAGGGCCAGGTCCAGAAGCGGTGCTCCTGGGGCCCAAGAAAGGCACTAAGTTGTTCTCGGTGAAAAGGATCAGGAAGCAGTATTGGTTCCCCAGGTGTCTGGGGCCCCAAGACTAGGAATGGCACAGGGCCCAAACTAGGAGTAGAGAACAGCAGGGGAGATGGAAGGGTGAATGTGGCTTAGGGAGTCAAAGCGTGGAGGGCTGCGCTATAGACTTACCCCAAGAGGTCTGAGGATGGGAGTGCGATCTGGCCAGTTTTTAACTTTTCCAAATAACCCTTTTAGGAGTGCAGTACTCACAATGATGGGATGCAAATTCACAAAACTTAACCAATGGGAATCTCCTCCCCTTCTTTTTCTTTTGGCTTTGTATATGAATATGTAGGCACATGTGTATGCCAGTATGTAAGTACATGTGTTTTGAGGGTGAGCCTAGAGCCAAGAGTCAATGTCACATATCTTCTTCAAGGCCCTCCACTGTGTGTGTGAGTGTGTGTGTGGGGGGGTGATATGGAAGTCAGAGGAAAACTTTCAGGAATTGGTTCTCTCCTTCAACCATGTGGGTACCAGAGACTGAACTCACAGGTTGTCAGGTATGGAGGCAAGTGCCTCTATTCACAGAGGCACCTCACTGTCCCTCTTATTTTGTGAGACAAGGTTTCTCACTGAATGTAGAGACCACAGATCTGTCTAAACTGGCTGCAGGCTAGCACGCTGCAGGGATCTGCCTGTCTCTTGCCTCCCCAACGCTGGGGTTACAGGTACCTGACACACCCACCTGGATATGAGATCATCGAACTCAGGTCCTCATGCTTGCATGTTAAGAATTTTGCCAACTAAGTCACTTCCCTAAGCCTCCTTTGCAGTTTTTGAGACAGAGTCTCATGTAACCCAGGCTAGCCTTAAATTCACTATGCAGCTGAACTTGAACTCTTCATTCTCCTGCCTCCACCCTCCAAACACTGAGATTACTGGCATGGACCATAGCTTAAGAAGTTCTTTCTCTGTCAACTAGAAAAAATTTTTTTTAAGATTTTCTTTATTAGTATTTATTCACTGCATATAGTACTGACATTCATTAAGTCAATTTCTATCAAGGATACCATGTATTCTGACCATATTCATGCCCAATTATTTTTTAAAAGAGTTGGATGACCGATAAAATCAGGAAATCAGGGAAGAGTAAAGTAACTGCAGATATCATTCATGAATTGGAGTCTTTCTCCTGATCTTCAATGAGTCTATTGGGATAAGAAATACTAACTCCACTTAACACAGTTAATCAGAGAGATTCTTTTTTTTTTTTTTTATTTAAGGTTTTTTTGTTTTGTTTTGTTTTGTCTTGTCTTTTTAAGACAGGGTCTCCCTGTAGCCCCAGCTGGCCTGGAACTCACTATGTAGACCAGGCTGGTCTTGAACTCACAGAGATCCGCCTGCCTCTGCCTCCCGAGTGCTGGGATTAAAGGTGTGCGCCACCACACCCGGCTTACTTAATTTTTTTATATGTATGAGTGTTTTACCTACATGTACATAAGTGCACCTGTGTTGGGCAATTTCCAAAGAGGCCAGAAAAGCCTGGAACTGGAGTTAAGGATAGTTGTTAGCAGCCATATGGGTACTAGGAACCAAACCCAAGTCCTCTGCAAGAGTAGTCAGTGCTCTAACCATTGAGCCATCTCTCCCACAGCACCATGTATGACTATGCTCTCCATGATTATCTAAAGGCCAGCACCTGCCCTAAGTCCCAATCTCTCTCTAATTCCCAACAGCCATGGTGAAATAAGCAGGAGTGTGTCACAGGAGCATGAAACAGACTTAGATGATCTGAGTCAGGAGTAAGCCACTAATATTTAAATGTCTATATGGACCTGTATTTCTAATTTATCTTTCCCAACTTACAAGGTTAGAAAGTTAGTTATCTTTTCTTATGACTAGTAATTTATCATCATATCATGAATGCTTTTATTTTGAGTGATAAAATTTAAGATGAAGTCATACTGTCTTCTGAATTTTCAAACTCAAGTAAACAGAGCATTTAAATAAATCTGCAATCCATAACAGCACACATTGTCCAACATTTTATGCTGTTTTTTGAAAAATGGGTTGTTCTGAATTTGGAAGGTTTTTAAAAATTGAAGAATGATAAAGCACACTGGGAGGGGTGTCTCTGGATAATAATTATCCATGTAAATGAGAATTCAATGCCCCTTCCCATGGAAGACATGAT